GGCCGTACTGCAGTTAATTAATAAATGATTACTGATTATTGTAATATAGGTGAACTAATATATTTATTAATAAGAGTAGGTGATTAGGGCATATGTGGTGTTTTATGAACTAATGTTTTATAAAGTTTTTAGCATGTTTCACATCAAATCTTTATCACAAATTCTTTATCACATATATTTTGCATATATGGTGTTTTTAGCATGTTTCACATCAAAATTTAATAGCATATGTATTATACTTTAAAGTTTTTACTGAACAATTGTTTTCAGTTTTTTGTGTTTGTGATGGACAATATATTTCTATATAGAATCAGTTTGTTAGCCTTCATTCTCACAAACAAGCATTCAAAATAGCATTGCAATCTCACCAATTGAGCATGAATTTGATTAAATAGACAATTGGGTGTGTTTTTGTCTACATGTAAACCTCAATTTATGACTTTTGTTTCAAGATAGTACAATTGGGACAATGGTCATACAGAAGCATAGGGAGTGTTTTATCAGCCCTTTTTTCATTGAATTATATTCTAGGTTTGGAATATGGAATTAGAGTTTAGTTACATCTTTTCATCTGGTTATTTGGTTTCAATATTTGCTAATGGAAAATATTTTATTGTTGTGTAGCCTGTGAAAGGATCTGAGGAAGAGATCCTTAGTTAGGAAATCTGTAAGCTGGAATATGAAGCTGAATACCTTCAGGTTATCTATGTTTGGAATAGGAAGATGAATTCCTATTCATCTTGATGGACCTACTGTAATTGGAATGATTAAAAGAAAGATTGATAATACATTTCCAGATTATACTGCAATTAAAGGGTATGAATCTGTTCTTTGATTCACTTATTCCTATACTTTTCATTCCTATACTTTTCAATATTCACATATAACAAACGCCCTTTCCATTTTGACATAGGCTCACCTCTCACGTGCAGCTAAAGAAATTCAAATATGCCCCAGAGAATTAGTTGTATAATTGCTCAGACTATTATGCTCTTTATGTTTAATATATATGTTCTATTAAGGTGGATTATACGTGTGTATAATTGTATATATGTTTTATATGTTATAAAAATCATCACTTTCATTCCAAGATTTACTTATTCCATCACTTTAATTTTGTTGTTTACAAAGTCCAATTGTTTATTGGCTTCCTTTTCTCTGAACTTTTGTATAAAATGTTTAGCTCTCCGTAATCTATATTTCCATAGTATCTGTGTCTAAAGCATTACTAACCTTGCTTTCAATCTGATCACAAATATCTTTGCTATCCACTTTTCTCCATTTAGTATAAATTTTTTTGTATTGACATCTGTGCAATATGAATACTGATTTTACTTCATGTTGTCATTCCATCACTTTAATTTTGTTGTTTACAAAGTCCAATTGTTTATTTGCTTCCTTTTCTCTGAACTTTTGTATCAAATATTTAGCTCTCTGTAATCATATTTCCATAGTATCTATGTGTCTAAAACATTACTAACCTTGCTTTCAATCTGATCACAAATATCTTGGCTATCCACTTTTCTCTATTTAGTAGGATTTTTTTTGTATTGATTTCCATCTAAAGGTACCATCCTTTAGATGGAAATCAGTTTGTTTGCTCTCAAATGTTTTCTAACCAGAATGTGAGTAACTTCAGGATTTAGAGTCTTCATCTTCAACAAGAACTAATTAAAAGGTAGGCCTTTATATAATGTTCTCTTCAGATTGGATTCTCTTTTCATTTTCTTTTTTTCCTGCTATACTCTCTTCAGATTGGGTCAGTTTCTTTTAAATTTTTGGGCACTGGAATGATAGTTTTTACCCCCTTCTCTGTTTGGTGTTTTTACCAATGATGGAATGATCTTAGTTTGATACTCTTGGTATTTCATTTCAGCCGCTAAATGTATTTCTTTACATCCACACTACAGATGTTTTTAAAAGAGCATGTATTTCTGAATTTTACTTCACTAGCTTAAAATGTCAGAAATACTAAAATTTTAAGCCTATGTAATTATAAAAATTTAACCCTTGAGATAAAAACTTATGTGGTAAAGCTGAATAGTCTTTAATGTGAGATGTATTTAAATGTTCTTTTGATGTGTTTTATAATGTTTTCTGAATTAAAAATGATGGCCGTACTGCAGTTAATTAATAAATGATTACTGATTATTGTAATATAGGTGAACTAATATATTTATTAATAATTAATAATTGAAATATTAAAATTTAGATTTCTATCTAAAATTTAGATTTCTATTATCGTATTAATAATTAATATGAAAAATAGTAACCCAAAGTTACTAAGATTGCTCCTTAATAATCAGTGTATATTAATAATTATATACATTAATTATTAACTTAATTATTACTTCATTATTATTAATAATGGCCGAACCCTATTTTCTTTAGATAAAAGATTTCCGCATCTATTAAAAAACGAGCTTAAGTAGTAGAGTCCTAATTCCACTACACAATATTATATACATTAATTATTAAGTTAATTATTTCTTCATTATTAATAATAGACGGTAACCCTATTTTTTAGATGATTTCCGCATCTATTAAAAATCGAGCTTAAGTAGTAGAGTCCTACACAATATTATATACTTTAATTATTAACTTAATTATTTCTAAATTATTTATAATGACCTGTAACCCTATTCTGTAGATAAGATTTCCGGTTCTATCTATCAAAAACAACGAGCTTAAGAAGTAGAGTCCTAATTCCACTGCATTCTCATCTTATCGATAAAACCCATTTATAAATACTGCTTCATCACAATACCATCGCCACACCTCTTGCGTAATTACCTCTTGCCGTTTTTCTCATATTTCAAGTTTCAACAATTACGAGGTAATTGTATATTCTATGGGTTTAGAAATGAAGACATAGAGGATGCATGGTATTTAGAAATGAGATGAACGTATGTTGAACATATATATTAATTACTAAGCTAAAGATAGAAATTATAGTGGTATGTAATGCATGCATATAAATGGGCGTAGATCAGGTACACTTGGGAGGTGAATTAGTATTTTAATGCTCAAGATTTATACAAAGTATAATTAATACTTTTAAGATTTTATATATGTATTATTTGTATGATGTTATTTGGAAAAAGTGACATATAACACTGTCAACTATCATTGTTAGTTTCTCTTTTAATAATAAAAAATACCAATTTGCTATATAGTAAACAGCTAGCCGTCCATAAAAATCAATCATTTAATATAACATGCTATATAGAAGTATAGGTTTGCACATTGCAGAAAAACCATGTAATCTTTAATAATTCAAACAGAACACATGATATTATATATTCGCTTCATTGAAAAGTTAATTTCCGTCTAGACAAATTAAATTCTACGCTTCATAAAATTAAAAAGTGGGGTTTCTGGCTTGCGATGTCTTCAAAATGAAAAGTTCTATTGTTTGGATAGTGGTGTATAAAGGAATCTATGAATGTAAAATATGGGACTTTAGTTACTTATAAATTATGATATGTATATCTTCATACCTATCCATTTATATGCTTATGTTTCTGTACGTATATCAGTATATGTTTGAACCACATCATGTATAGTAACAAATAAAAATATATTTATGCATCACAAATGCTAACTTTGTCTAACAATTTTTTTGTAGAGTTCTGAATGGATAACACATTAATTAGATGAGGAAATTGACAAAATCCACCATTATAATTGGCAAAAGATCATTTCCCTTGGGTGAAATTGTGCAGAATGCCGACTCCAATAATGAAGATTCTAATCTTGGCATTGCTGAAAGGATACACACCGGTCCTAAAAGGCCAAGATCAGTGGGAACCGAAAATGAACCAAATGCCATTTTCCCTCTTGACTCAAGTAAAAATTCTTCTTTGTGTTTGAATAGAGCGCCATTGCAGAACATAACGAATGGTAATAATACTATGAAGTGTTATAAAATTTGATTTTTTTTTCATTCTAGCACTTTATTATTATGTTATTTACTCTTTTTTTGGTTAGTCCCATCGAGAAGAATTACTATTGGTAAAAGTCTTGGAGGGACAACTTCGATATCTTACACTCCGTATCCTGCTGAAACTTCACGGAAAAGAGATTTGCCTGAAGCCCGTGCTACACTCACTTCTGAGCAAGTTGAAGTATTGGACTTTGGCGATGTGAATGGAACATATAGTGAAGTTGATAAAAATATTGAAGGTAACAACGATGTTAACACTCATAAGTGAATGCAACATTTCAATCCACAAGTACAAATTTATAACTAAATTATTATTTAAAAATTCGTGTATCGTTTAATTTCAATTTTATTTATTTATTGATATTATTATGGTTATAACTACAGTGTTAAAATGCTTACGTTCACTGCTTATTTTTAGGAGATAGATGCACAGAGATACCTGATACATTTTCAGATGATGATGGGATTGATGATGATGGGATTGCATTTGATGGTAAATAAAATTGGTTATGAGTTATTCATTGAGTAGTATTTATTAACCACCATGCTTTTTACATTGGCAAAGTGAAATGAAATATATTAATCCATAAACGTAATTATTCCTTTTATTTGCAGCGGAAGACGCAGGATATGCATTTAATTCGTATGAAGGTATTTAGTTTTTTATTGAGAACGTTTAAATATTTTTTATATGCTCATTATTTTTAAATAGATGATTGAATTGAATTTAAGTATTTGTGGAAGATGTTTGGGATTAGTTCTATTTTTTTGTATGCAGATTATTTAGATCTGGGTGACACTACTTACACATGTGAGTATTGTGGAGCTCTATTTTGGCATGCAGAAAGAGTTAAAAGACATGGAAAGCACAACCCAAAGTTCTCAATGTGTTGCAATAAAGGAGATGTTGTACTCCCCAAGATGCAAACACCTCCACATTTGTTAGGGGCTTTGATATTTGGTACGGATGAGCGGAGTGGACATTTCCTTAAAATATACGCTCATATAATTCTATGTTTTCGTTTACTTCAATGGGCGGAAAAACTGATGGAGGCATAAATCGTGGCACTTCACCTCCCGTGTTCCGATTAAATGGTCAGAATTATCACAAGATAGGAAGCCTTTTGCCAAACGATGGACAACGACCTAAGTTTCTCCAAATGTACTTATCTGATCCAGCTGAAGAGATTGCACACAGAATAAGCGCTGTGAGGTAATTTTCTAAAGACACAATTATTAGATGAACCTTAAATCTTTAAAAACTTTAAATGATGAGGAATATTAATTTAAAAAAATACTTATTTTAAATACTTCAACATAGTGCATATGGTTGAAATTTTTTAATGTTCTGTACAAATGAAAAAAATTCATGAGTACAATTGTTTTACCAATTACTTTCAAGTGAAAAATAATAGTTAATTTGTGAGCAAATGTTCAAAAATCTATGTAATACAAATTTAGCAGTTTTAATTTGACATTTACTTTTTTTTTAACCCGGAAGGCAAACCACCAAAATCAGTGGGGTAAATGCCGGGAGTCATTTACCGGAGTTTTATTGATTAAAAGAAAGATACAAAAACATAGAGGAGGACCAAACCAAGCCTCTCATAAAAATGCAGAGGAATTAATTAAATCTAACAAAAGTGAGGCCTAGCTTATCAGCCATCAAAGATCTTCTAATATAACTAGGAAAAAGATTGATATTATTAATTTGACTTTAACTGTAATGTACGTAATTCAACTATTATGTTTTCTTATTTTAATCATCCCTTGAATAGTATCACTCCACGTGTACCACTAATTAAATAAATATGATGCAGGAATGAGGATGATAGCTCTTTGCAATCGTCATTGGTGCAAGACTTGAAAGCAATGCTTGACACCTACAATGTGCATGCAAAATCATTCAGAATGGCGAGAGATCGATTTAATGAGTCTAATTCCACCACATTGAAAATGAAACTCATTGGCAAAAGGCACTCAGAAGGCCGCACTTACAACATGCCAAGTGTCAATGAAGTTGCAGCGCTAATTGAAGGTGATTTTGATGTAAACAAAAAAGAAAGAGATGTGCTTCTTCAAACAAAGACAGAAGCTCTGCAAATCATTTCTGAATTGAACCCGTCTTTCTTGGGTTTGCAATACCCACTATTATTTCCATATGGCCAGGATGGGTTTAGAGAAGATGTTCTGTTGACACGTGCAATAAGTGGCGAGAGCGAGGGTGGGAGGAAGCATGTCACCATGAAAGATTTCTTTTCATACAGATTGCAGGAGAGGACTAATGAATCACCTTATATATTGAGATCAAAGAGATTGTTTCAACAGTTCATTGTTGATGGGTATACGATGGTTGAATCGTCACGATTGCAGTACATCCGTCTCAACCAGAAAAAGTTAAGAAGTGACTTATATAGTGGGTTAGCAGACGCTGCTGGAAGGGGAGAAACAGATGCATCTAGAGTCGGCCAACTAATTGTTTTGCCAAATTCCTTCACAGGTAGTGCAAGTTTTTATTGTAAAAATTCATAATGACACAAAAGTCCCATGGAAGCCAACTAATTATTTTCATTCCCTTATTTTGTAATTTGTGCAATCCATCAAATTGAACTCCAAAAAAGAACCAGTTGTAACAATCCGTCTTTTTGTGGCACAGGTAGTGCACGTTATATGTTGCAAAATTACCAAGATGCAATGGCTATATGTAAATGGGCGGGGTATCCACAACTATTCATCACATTTACATGTAATCCGAAATGGCCGGAGATTATTCGCTATGTTGATGACAAGGGATTGAATCCAGATGACCGACCGGATATCCTTTCCAGGGTTTTTAAGCTGAAGCTCGAACTTCTCATCAAGGATCTAAAGGAAAACAAGTTATTTGGTGATGTTAAAGCGGGTAATATTTAAATTCATGACTATGTATAAATAAGTACTATGTGCTACACTATGCGTTAAATATCTGCTATCTTCATGAAATATAAAGTAATTAAAAAAGGTTAAAAGTTACAAACTTTCCTAATGATTGCATACCAATGTCAAAAAAATTAGATATGCATGTTGGGATAAATGTCTTCTTTAATTAATACGCAATATATGTAAGGGAATACTTTGGTCAATCTGGACTACTAAGAACGCCGTCCGGTCAAGCCTGTTTGAGGGTCTTTTGAGTAAATTTTTTTTATGAAAGTTTGTGAGCATGTTCTTCATGAAATTTAGAACGTTCACACATACTTTCAGCTTAAATTTCCATTGGGAAGTAAGTTAAATATTTTTATTAAAAACACTGCATTTTTTATGCATATTTTGGTGCAGTGCGTTTCAATAATTTATTTAACTGACTTCCCGATTCAATTTGGATCTGAAATTTTGTGGAGATAATTGAAACTTCATTATCAATATTCAATCAAACCTTCAGCTTAAAACTCAATCATTAAGTCAGTTAAATAAATTTTTGTAGAACATTGTGTTTTTCTGCATATATTTGCGCAGTGTGTTTCAATGTTTTGTTTAATTAGCTTCTCTGTATAATTTTAAGCTAAAATATTTTGGAGACGATCTAAATTTCATGGTGAACGTTCTCACAAAATGTGAGCTTAAAATTCAATCCGGAAGACAGTTAAATTTTTTTGTTTAAATGACAATGTGTTTTTTATGAATATTTTTGCGCAGTGCGCTTCAATGATTTATTTGATTGCCTTCTCAATTGAATTTTAAGATCAAACTTTTTGTAGACAGTAAAATTTTTATGCAGAATAATCTCACAAAATATCATCAAAAACTTCCACCGGGACGATCCTCAAATTCCATCGTCCGGATGGCGATTCCTGTCAGTCCGGACAAACATGAACATTAGTGATACATATATACAGCGGTTCTGCCGCGGACCGTGTAAAGGGATTGATTCTGTATGTATGTGTGTCTTTAGGAAATTTAGATATTATGTATTTGTGTTTTTGTATAGTTTTGTAAAACAGATTTAGAAATATGCCGATAAAATATAAATATACATAACTATGGTTTTATAAAAGTAATGAATTTTATATTATGTTTAGCTTAATTTTGAAATATGAAAACCATTTTTTTAGAGATGAACAATGATGTGAAATACATAAAAAATGTTCTCTGATAGAGAACCTATATGTGTATATCCTTAAGCACATGTGTCACTTTTAAAAAAAAAAAGAACGTATGTATCACTTATGTATACAAAAAATATACAAATCACTTGAAAATTTAAATTTAATTATCTTATTAATAAAAAAAATTATTTTAATTTTGTTATGCAGTTGTCTACACTGTGGAGTTTCAGAAACGTGGATTACCACATGCGCACATTGTATTGTGGCTTTCAATGACAGAGCGCAGTGCAAACCCATCAGTGATGATCGATAGAATTATTTCAGCAGAGATTCCGGATGAATATGCTGACCCTGTTTATTACAACGCAGTTAAAGAATTAATGATCCATGGTCCATGTGGCCCTATGAATCCGTCTGCACCATGCATGGAAAAAGATCGTTGCACAAAGCACTTTCCAAAGAGATTTGTCACTCGCACTGCAATTGATAAGCAAGGTTATCCGGTTTACAGACGGAGAGAAAACGGTAGGTATGTTACTAAAAATACCCACGATCTCGATAATAGATATGTCATCCCACACAACCGTGGCTTATTGTTGAAGTATAGCGCTCACATTAATGTCAAGTGGTGTAACCAAACACGGGCGGTTAAGTACTTATTTAAGTACATCAATAAGGGTGACGATAGGATAACGGTGGAGTTCTCAGAAGCTATAGATAACTCTACTCCGAAAAAAATAGATGAGATTAAGATGTACTATGACTGCCGGTATATATCCGCATGTGAGGCTGCTTGGAGAATTTTTGGATTCCATATTCATTATCGAGATGTAGCAGTTGAACGTCTCACTTTTCATCTTCCTGATGCGCAAAATGTTTACTACAATCCCAATGCATCTATAAGTGCGGTCCTGAATAAACCTACGATCAACTCCACAAAATTCACTGCATGGATGAAGGCAAATCAAGTGTATCCTACTGCAAAAGAGCTGACGTATGTTGAGTTTCCAAGCAAATTCACCTGGAAGAAAAAGACCATGGAATGGGTAGAAAGAAAGAGAGGATTTTCTATTGGACGCATTTATTACGTACGCCCTGGAGCAGGTGAGAAGTACTATCTACGGATACTGTTGAATATTGTGAAGGGAGCAACCAGCTTTGAGGACTTGAGGACTTATGAAGGGACCGTATATCCTACATTTAGAGACGCGTGCCATGCACGTGGTTTACTTAAAGATGACAAGGAGTATATTGATGGCATTACAGATGCAAGCTTCTGGTCATCTTCACGGTCGCTCCGCATTGTATTTGCTACTCTTCTGGTTTCAAATGAGTTTTCTAAGCCAGGCTTAGTGTGGCAAAAGTGTTGGGAGTTTTTCTCTGATGACATACTATACAACATTCGCAAGAATACGGGTAATCCAGGTATATTATATTCTAAACCATTTTTTAATATTTCACTTAATTACTCACTTATACAAATTTATGCATTTTAGTTCTACAATAAAGACTTCTCCATGAAATACTTAACTGATTGTCTTACATACATAGCTAATGACATATTAAGTGAGATAAAAAAAATATTACACGTGAGTATATTATTATATATAGGAAAAAGATCCCCTTAAGTAGTTTTGACAAGAAGCCCTGTCCAAACTTGACTATACACAAAAATGTTTTTGAAAGATCACCATAAAAATGTTTTTTTGAATACACTAAATGTTAGTAGTTTATTCCCTTATTAAAATTATTTATACAAAATATTTATTTAGAGAATATGAACGATAGCTTATACTACGTTACTATGTAAGATATATGTATATTAACGCAGTTTACTACTGGAGTACTGTTTACTATGTTAGATATGACTTTTGGATATTTTTAATGATAGTATAAAAAATATACTTATAGTGAACTTATAGATTACATTTACTAAATTGATAGAAAAAATCCAAAAAAGTTAACAAATAAATAAAGGTCTATCAATTAATACAAATAATAGCACTTTTATTATTACTTAATTTTTACTCTACATTTTCACTTAAAAAATACAAAAACGTTATGCATCTTTTCATGTTGAGTGATGAATTTAATAAAATATACAATATTTAAATACTGAATTAGTAAACATGTTTTCTTTATTTAGATGTTAATTAAAGGTAAAAGTATTGTATGTTTAATTTCGTTGTGATGAAATGTATATATTGTGGAATATTTTATTTATTAGTTTAATCTTAACTAACCTAATAAAATATTTAAATGCGCCACTGCAGATTTTGAACTGGATCAAGAGAAAATTGAAAAGTATTGTTTGTTGGAGATTCAGAAGCTCTTGCAGTCAAGAGGTAGATCACTACGTGATTTTGCTGGCATACCCTTGCTACCTGATGATGAAATGCCCTCGCTTGAAGAAGTTCTCATTCATGAAGAGCTGCGGTATGATAAATCGTATTTGATGGAGGAGCATGCAAAGTTGTTGGCCGAGATGACAGATGAACAACGTGTTGTGTATGACAGAATAATGGAATCTGTAGATTGTAGAAATGGGAAATTCTACTTTTTATATGGTCACGGAGGAACTGGGAAAACATATCTATGGAGGACTTTGTCTGCAGCTGTTAGATCTCGCGGTGATATAGTTCTTAACGTTGCTTCAAGTGGTATAGCATCGCTTCTGTTGCCTGGAGGAAGGACCGCACATTCGAGGTTTGCGATTCCACTTACTGTTGTAGAAGACTCCACGTGCAACATAAAACATGGTAGTCCGTTGGCTAAGCTGATAGAGTTATCTAAGTTGATTATATGGGATGAGGCACCAATGATGCACCGACACTGTTTTGAAGCTCTTGATCGGAGTATGAGAGACGTGCTTCGTTACTCCAGCCATTGTGACGCTACCTTGCCTTTTGGTGGGAAGACGGTTGTATTTGGTGGTGACTTTAGACAGATTCTTCCTGTGATACCAAAAGGCACAAGACAGGATATTGTGCACGCTGCACTGAACAGTTCATTCCTGTGGTCACATTGTACTGTAGTGAGGCTTACCAAAAACATGAGGCTCGCGAGGATGCTAGGCCAGCCGGATGGACCAACTATCCAATCTTTTGCGGAGTGGATTTTGAAGATTGGCGACGGGGCTTTTGCTGAAAATGAAGATGGAGAATCACTCATTGATATACCAGACGATATGATCGCTCCAATGACGTCTGATCCCGTTGAATCTATAGTTCAAGCTATTTATCCTGATTTCTTAACCCAGAGTGATCTGATTAATTATCTTAATTCCAGGGCTATTCTTGCTCCGACCATAGATGAGGTTGATAAGGTCAACGATTATATGTTGAGCAAGATAGATTCAGAGTTAAAGACATATCTTAGCTCAGATTCAGCTTCTTCATCTGACTCGGATAGTAATGATCTCTTGCACGAGATACATTCTCCTGAATTTCTTAATAGTATCAAATGTTCTGGCTTGCCAAGTCATGAGCTGAAGCTGAAAGTTGGAGTTCCTGTAATGCTTATGAGGAATATAGATCATTCATCTGGATTATGCAATGGCACACGACTTCTGGTCACTAAACTTGGAGCTCATATTATTGAGGCACAGATGATGCACGGAGAAAATGCAGGTGAGAAGTTTCTTATTCCTCGCCTTACTTTGACACCGTCGGACATTAGTCTCCCGTTCACTTTTCAGCGTAGGCAATTTCCGTTAATGGTTAGCTATGCAATGACCATTAATAAGAGCCAGGGACAGTCATTGGAAAATGTTGGCATCTTCCTCCGTCGACCTGTTTTTACCCATGGACAGTTGTACGTGGCGGTCTCGAGAGTAACAAGTCCGTCTGGATTAAAGAAACCAACGAAGTCAGCGTTGAATGTAGTATACAAAGAAGTTTATACTAATTTATAGTTCCCTTGCTTTACATACATGCATACTCATTGCTATGTATATTGCATGATGATTATTTTGTTTTTGTTTTTTATTTTATGTTTTGAGTTAGCTTAATTGACTATGAAATTCTTTGAGTTTATGTATGATTTATCCAAAAATCTTCACTCCCGTGCGTAGCACGGGTGGAATTACTAGTAAGTAAAAAAAGTAAGGTTGAAGTTACTTTTCTGGCTGTATTGGCTGAAGTTACTGTAGATGACCATTCTAGCTATTTTTACATATAATTTTTTCTTTATTTTATTAATAAAATATACTACTTCAGAATTTTAAAAACAGTATCAGTAGTATTTTAAAAATAATTTTTTCTTAAATCGGCGGAATTAGCCAATGCAGCCACTTCAGCTAGAACTTCATAAATTTCAGCAGAATCAACTAAAACAGCCGATTTTAGTGCTACCAAACGGGCTCTATATGTACTATTTATTTAATTAACTTGGGTAGTAAAAAATCTTTTGGATATTTTTCTACGCACTATATAAAAATGATCAATTTTAATACCATGATTACACTTTAGACTTTCTTGGTAAATGGCTTGTCACTTTATCAATAATTTTTAAATAGAATAGACCAGTTTGGTAATATGAACAGTTTTTGTGGCATGATAAAGTAGATGTTTGATAAAATAATATTTTAGAATAACTAAAATAGATGTTTGGCAAGTTGACTTGGGCAAGCAGGCATTGCGACACATCTTAACTTACATATTAAATATCCCTTTTAATTTTTCTTTTGTCCTCCTTTTATTTTCTTTTACTAAACTTTTAGGCTATTGAAAAGTTTATTACTACTAGCCACTAGGTATATTACTTTGGAAGATGAAAAAATAAATAAATTAGTAAATAATTTTAATTCATGTAACTAAATAACCTTTAGCAAAGCATTTAATTGATTTATATTTACATATTTTATATATTTAAATTACTACCCCTCCATCCCAAAAATTCTTCCTAGTTTGACTAAGCACGTTTATAAAAAAAGTGAGAATATTGTAAAAATATATGATTGTGTAAGAAAAAAATAAATGAATATTAGTTATACAAATCATTAAAGGGAAATGAGAAAAAATTGGGACATCCCAAAAAGGTAAGTGAGAAATTTCTTTTAGATGGAAGTAGCGATAGATTCCTTCGAAAGAAGCAGAAATAAATAAATAAATTATTAAATAATAATAATAATTTATATAACTAAATACCGGAGAAGCTTTTTAGCAAAGCATTTATTTGTAGTTAAGTACTCCGTATTTGGTACAATTACAAAGTACTTGAATTTTCACCCATACATTGCATAAATTGATTTTCTAATGCATATATATAATATACTTATGACTAACTATTTAGGTTCATATAATTGCATGTGACTTGTGACATGTATCTATCTATAAATAATACATTTCAAAGATACATTTAGGGAAAGTTTTGTCACATGACATCTTCTCAATAATCTTCTCAACATTTGATGATTCTATAAATGAATTTGCATCTCACGTGTATTATTATTATTATTATTATTATTATTATTATTATTATTATTATTATTATTATTATTATTATTATTATTATTATTATTATTATTATTATTATTATTATTATTATTATTATTATTATTATTATTATTATTATTATTATTATTATTATTATTATTATTATTATTATTATTATTATTATTATTATTATTATTATTATTATTATTATTATTATTATTATTATTATTATTATTATTATTATTATTATTATTATTATTATTATTATTATTATTATTATTATTATTATTATTATTATTATTATTATTATTATTATTATTATTATTATTATTATTATTATTATTATTATTATTATTATTATTATTACTCCTTAGTAGATTATAACTCCTACAAAATTGGAGTTCACATGTAATGCTACGATAGTAGTAGTGTATTTCATATAGGAATGGTACTAATGCTACTTACAATTCCAATTATTTAGGACTCCACCAAAATAAAATCTATTAGTTTTTCTAAAGTGTTTTAACTTTTTCATTTGTATTCTGATTTTTACGAAAATTATATCAAATTTCATAACTTTTTATTATCTTTCAAATGACACAAATATTGAATATATTAAAAAAAATTAACACTCAAAAACATCTATTTGTTTAAATTTATATAACTTTTTTATTTGTACTTTGATGGTTACAAAAAATATATCTAAAATCATAACTTTTTATTATCTTTTATATGATATCAATATTGAATATATAAAGATAAAAAAATATATAAAAACTTTAAAAAGCATCTGTTTTTAATGCTACTACAACCATTATTAAATCAAACCAGGTCAGAATTCGACAATTGCAAAGTAAACATTGAACAAACGTGTACTAGATCAGTTCATATGAAATCAATCTAGATCTAATTTTAACAGATCAGACCAGACAGACTGGACCTTAAAAATTATGAAACATGTACTAGATCAGTTCATATGATTTTGATTCAATATGAAAAATTCATATGGAATCAAAATCATATGATTTGGTGAGACCTTAAATAGTTAAAACACTAACCGTAATATATCACAAATCTCCATTTAATCCTTTTCATTGTCTCTTTTTATCCATTAAATTTCTTGTATACCTTTCTTGATAATTGGTACGATAAATGTTTAAATATGTTAAAACAAAAATTAGACTATTTTACCAAGTAGATATAGTTCATCCGAAACTATATTAAATCAATTAAGAATCAAAAGTTAAATTGAAATGATTATACTAAATTTAAATAGCGTTTCTTTAGTTGGGATTTCTATCATTATAATTGCTTTACATAGAATAACCAATACTCTTTATTCTTTCAATAATTATTTCATTGAAAACTTCTTCTCCCTAGATATATTCTTCCACCTTTTTAGAATATTTTATGATGTTTTTAATTGGATTAGTTTCAGTTTCATACCAAGTCAGGCCATAACATACTTGATCAAGTCATACTAGACTTTGACGATTGTAAAATACTTATAGAACAAATATATACTAGAGTCGATTCGTTCATATCAAATTAGAACATACTACTCTTAAACAGATCAGATGAGAACAGAAAATTTCAGACAAATTAAAAACACTCTTACATGAGATTTGCATGTGAAAACACAATTTCACTCTAACATAGATTAACACAATTTTACTCGAACACAATTTCACTAAGCTCTTCTACAAAATTACACTTAAACACAAATTATGAAATTAAGACAATTTTATGAGACCCATACACAATTAATAATCGATTGTAATTATTAATCTTCTTATTTATTACTAATTTATTTATCTTCTTATCCCCTACTAATTAAATAATTGCTTTTAATTACGAGCTCACTTGGAATTAATAATTACTCTATAGTATTTAACTTCAACCAAGTTAATAATTGGTCCAGCCCGGGGGATAAAAGAAACACAATTTTACCAAATTTAGGCCTCCAAAGTCCAAAATTCCCAATTCGCAAAGTCCTTCCGTGAGAAATGTTTTTAAGTACTCCGTAATATTTTTCGTTTTATGTGATACTCGTGTTGTTAATTTTCACCAAATATGTAATTTAAATAATAATAATAATAAAATGAGTTTCGTTTTTATTTAATGACCTTTATTAGATAATTTTATTATAATTATGTTGTATTATTTTAAATAATTATATTTTATTATTTGTTTTTAGTATAAGCCCAAAATATTATCCCGTCTATAGGCCCGAAAATAGACAAGACCAGCCCTGACGGGAAATTAAGCCTAGATATATGATCTCTTTATAGGGGTTACGTTCTGTGTTGTAATTTCTTAGTTCCAAATTTTTATCTATTTCTTTTTTCATTCCATACTCTTCCATATTCCGTTGACTTAAGGTAATTCCCTTTACTGGTTAACTTTCTAGTTGAGACCAGGAGTGCAAAATTGATACCTCAAAATTTAAGTAAAAACGGTAGAATAGTGCAGCATCTTTTGAAATGTATACCATCTTTACATTGCCAA